GAGGAGGACATCCCTGGGCAGCGCATCCTGTCTACGGGTTCACATGACTCCACCAATCCAGAAGACCTGAAGCATCTGTTGTTGGATTCACTTAGTCGATTAGCTGGTGCTGTTAACAATTTTCTGGTCATGTACGCCAAAGCATTTAGAGTGGACTTCACTGTAGATCGCACAGTAGATGCTACAAAAGGTAAGAAAGAAAATTGGGTTTCAGTTTAGTGAAAAGGAGTACAGTTTATGTACAGTTTACAACTGTGACATCAATGGTATTTATACAGCTATTATGATATTAGACAATAACGACTTATGCATCCACTTAACTCAATCATAATGTTATCACCCAAACCTATAGAGCCTTGTGACATAAGAGAAGTGCGAGAAAAGGTGTCAGTGAAGGTCCAGGGTTTGCACCGCCTTGAGCTAGAGTGGAAGTATGATGAGTATTTTGTGGAGGTCCAGCTCTTCCATGGGTCCCGCTGCATTGGCCCGCCTGTGCACTCGCTCAACAAGAAGATCACAGATGACCCCAAGTTCTACCCTAAGGTTGTCTTCAATAAGTGGTAAGTGAAGTAGAAAGTTGTATAATTTAAAAATTCAGGCAACTTTCTTTGCCCTGATTCTTTATGAAGAAAAAGAAAAGGAAACTTTTTCATTGTTGCCACTTTTTTATATATTAACCTGTTCAGACTGAGTGGCATCTGTTTCTGCCATTACTCACTGAACTCATTTACCAGGTGGAAAGTATCCATACCATGTGGAGTTGACCCTGCTCTCTTTTATGCATGCAAAATACTTGACTTGTTTGATCATTGAGGCTTTAAGTCTTTTTATTAGCCTCATATACTAAAAGATCTTATACACTGCAGTTAGAATTGTAAAGAGCTGGGAAAACAAATTTCCCTTGTTTCTGATATTTCATTCAAGTGGCTGACTTTGCATAGTGCTTGATAAGAAGTGGGTAAAAGTCATCATAGGGTTAAAGTTAAAGTCTACACCAGTGCTAGTTTTTATGGAAAGACTGCTTGACTTGAAGTGCCTCCCCTGCCCTCAGGTTGGACTTGGGAGCCCGCATCAACACGCTGCCAAAGGAAAGCAGACTAGTCCTCACAGTATTCGGCTTGAAGATCATTGAAGCGGAGAATAAGAATGAGCAGCCACAGTACATCAGGGAGGAACTGGGATGGGCAGCTCTGCAGTGCTTCTCCTATGAAGGGTGAGCATTTTAGGCTTTATTTTAAACTACTCCACTAATTAGAGTTTAGTTGTTATTAAATAAATTATATATATATATATATATATATATTATATATATATATATATATATATATATATATATATATATATATATATATATTATTAAATATGTATGTATGTATAATGTTTATTATTTATCTATTTATTTGTGTTATATATATGTATATTTATGATTTTTATATGTTTTTACACAAATATTATTATCATTGTTTTGGTATTATTATTATTGTTGTTGTTTTTATTATTATTATTATTATTATTATTATTATTATTATTATTAATTATTATTATTATTATTATATTATTATTATTATTATTATGTTATTATTATTATTATTATTATTATTATTATTATTATTATTTATTAGTTGTTTATCATCAGTGCTATTATTGTTATTGTTATTATTATAATTATTATCATTATGTCATTGTCATTGTCATTTGTAATTGTGATATTATTATTTATTATTATATTATTATTATTATTATTATTATTATTATTATTATTATTTTATTTTATTATTATTATTATTATTATTATTATTATTATTATTATTTTTTTATTATTATTATTATTATTATTATTATTTTTTTTTTTCTTTCTTTCTTTCTTTAATAGTATCATTATCATCAGTGCTATTATTGTTATTGTTGGTATTATTATTATCATTATTATCATTATCGTCATTGTCATTGTCATTGTAATTGTAATTATATTATTATTATTATTATTATTATTATTATTATATTATTATTATTATTATTATTTATTATTATTATTATTTATTATTATTATTATTGTTATTGTTATTAGTAGTAGTGTTAGTAGTTGTTATTAATATTGTTATTATTGTCATTAGTAGTGTTGTTATTATTATTATCATTATTATTATTATTATTATTATTATTATTATTATTATTATTATTATTATTATTATTATTATTATTATTATTATTGTTATTGTTATTATTGTTTTTATTATCGCTATTATTATTTTTGATATTATTATTATTATCATTATTGTTATCATTTGTCTACTATTGTTATTATTTCTGTTACTTATTTATTATTTAGGATTTGCATATTTTCTTTGTAATAAATGTAAGTGCCATTCCAAAGTAATTCGTGATTCATACCGCATTATCCTTACACACACATTCTCTCTTTGAGCAGGAAGTTAACTCAGGGGTCGCACCTCCTGACCTTGTGGCCCATGGTGAGTGACAAGCGTCTCGGGCCGGCTCCTTACTCCTCTGACCACCCAAGGGTTCACGGATGCCCTGTCCTCTGTGAGTCGTTATCTGTGTTTTTGAGCCGATCAAGTTTTCTCTTAGGTGACGGGGATCAAAGAAATGTAGCTTTGTATGAGATGCATGCAATATTGTTTTTTTTTTTTAGGTTTTATTCTTTTTCTTTATCTTTTTGATATTGTTTCGTACTTCAAAATGATAGCTTATTGAATAAATAGACTCTGATGTACTTTTAAGTTGATAATATTTTAATGTTTGTAATATTTTATCTCTGAAATACATCCAGAATCTGATCTCATAACTTATTAATCTGGACTATATTAGAGAGCAAATGAAACCATTAATTTTAATTTTTTCATCAATTTACTGATTTTGTCTGTTACAGCTGTCGAACTGAAGGACTTTGGTGGAGAAGTGTACTTCCCTAGAATAGAAGTTCCGCCCCCAACTAAGCTTGAGTTTTCATCCCTAGACCTTAATACTCAGCAGCAACTCTCGGATATCATTGAGAGAGACATATTTATCTTTAACAAGTATGTATTTTACACTGTTCATTTGGTAGATGTATAAAAGGAATAGTTGCCTAACAATTAGCATAACTGTTGTAGTGTATGAGGACTATTTTTTTTATTATTATTTTTTTTTTATTGTGATTTAGAATTCTTAATGATATAAGTTACTGTGAATAAGTGTAAACCAATCTTTAAAGATGTAGTTACTTATATAAAAGAATCTTTCAGAGGTTCAGTGGAGGAGCGCGAAATTCTATGGGAAAAGAGGCACTACCTTCATGAGGAACCTGCTGCTCTTGCAAAGGTGCTCCTTGCAGCACACTCATGGGATGTCTCATGCCTGCCAGATCTTCACTCTCTTGTGAGGAATTGGGCATCTCCTGCACCTGCGGATGCCCTGCATCTTCTTCTGCCGTGGTGAGATGGGAAGTTTGTTTAGGGTTGAAAAGTGAATGTGAATTTAATTTCTTGTTGTAATGAGGGTAATTAGGACAAACTTGTTTTATTTCACTTAACTGAATTTATAGGTAGTCCTGACTATGTTGCATGTGATTGATTAGAAAATGATGATCATTTTGGCTTAAATGTCTTTACAGTTTTGCTGACAGCATAGTAAGGGGGTGTGCAGTAGGATGGATCAGAGGTCTGGGATCCGATGAACTCATAAGCTTCCTACCGCAATTGGTTCAGGCTGTGAAGCACGAAGCATGGGACATTTCACCAACAGCAGAATTACTGTTAGAAAGAGCACTAACGTCACCCAGACTTGCACATCATCTGTATTGGCTTCTCAACCAGTGCCTTCCTCTTCAGGTAATAATCATAATTTTATTATGATTAGGGAATTGTGGTTGAGGTTAGAAAGCGTAAATTATTATTTTTTATATATATTATAGCAGGTGTATAAAAAAATGGTTACTGTATTTCAAGACTATTCAAGCTTTTACAAAAGTAATGGCACCTGCATAATGTGTATTATACTTATTCTTATTTTATGATACAGAAATGAATATTGAAAGACAGAAATTGATTATTACAAAGAATATGTAAGGTGTTGCATATCACTAATTACTTCTCGCAGACCAATATGGGTGGTGAACGTGAATTGGTGAGTGATGCCAGATATCGTCGGAGGCTCAATCTTGTCACTCGTGCGCTGATGGCCATCTGTGGAAAGAACTTGGAAAACAGACTTCTTACACAAGAGGCCATACTCAGAGTTAGTTTTACATGGCATTTTTGTGTGAAATAGGGTGGGGAGGGAGGCAAAAAAAAAAACAGAAAAACTCACTAACGCTAACTCTCCCTCTCACTCTCACTCCCTCACAGTACTCCTTCCCTCACACGACTCCCTCCCTCACACGACTCCCTCCCTCACACGACTCACTCACTCACTCACAAACAGAAACAGAAACACGTACATGCACACATACATACACACATTTATATATTTGTATTTGTGTTTGTAGCTATATCTATAATTATGTCTATATTTGTATTTATATTTATATATAATAAATTGATAATGTATTTTGGTGGAAAAGAAAGATAATAAAATTTGTGAGGATCCTTAAAATAACTGAATAATATTGCAAAAAGATGGGTATATAGATGAATAAGTATCTTTTTTTCAGAGTCTTTACGCCACAGCTGTGAACATTAAGGACACAAAGGATTCGCAGAGAATGCATGTCCTCAGCAGAGACCTGGAAAATATCCACTTCAATTTGACGGTACGATTGATTGCAGTTTAGGCCTTGCATTGGTTGGCTATAACTTATTATCGATACGCTTAGGGAAATAATAGAATTGTCCTTGAGAACGTTGAGAACTTTTTATTTTGTTTAGAAAATGTCATGTGATGTTTTAAGTTCCTAGTTGATGGAGATAAAATAGAAATATAGAAAACTTGAGAGCTAAAATCTTTTTTGTTGTTGTTGTTGTCGTCAAAACTTGCTCTCATCATGTATCTTGTGATGATTTTACTCAACAAATGAAATTGATATGATTTTATACATCTGCCTGTAAAGCTGTGTTGCCAATTACATTTTTCAAAATCCACTAAGACAACCTAAAAAATCCACCAGATTATAGTTAAAGCTCTAAAAGATTCCTGCTAGATTTGACAAGAAAATTCACTAGTTACTCTTGCGAATTTCTAATTTTCCTTGACAGATTGACACTTAGATTTGCTAGAGTAGGCAGAAAAATCACCAAAATGGCAACACTGCTCTAGTGTCTCTGCTACACAACAAATCTTGGAAGGAGTGAGAAACTTTGATAATGTAACAGAAGTACTCCTCATCCATAGGCCTATATGTGGTTCCTATTTTAAAGGGCTTTCTTCAACATTCTCTAGCTCTTCCTTTTTCATTTACTTCTTTGCTTTTATCTGTTTTTTGTCATTTGTTCACTTGTTTCTCTGTTGCTCTTGCTCTCTCTCTTCCTCTCTCTCTCTCCCTCTTTGTTGCTCTCTCTTGCTGGCTCTCTCTCTCGCTCTTATTATAACATCTATACATATTTTAAACGTTGTAAGTGATTACACCAGATCACATGCTACTAAGCACTTTACTGTGAATAGATACTATTTTTTCAGATCATTAACCCCTATGATCTATGGTAAAAAGTTAATGCAAAATATCTTTGCAAAGGGGAGGCACAGAGTCTTGTCACCATCATGAGTGTTTGTGTATGCCTGACCCACACATTGGACACTTGGGATATTGGCAACTTCTGTAACCCACTGCCTGTATTTTTGGCGCTGTGATTTTTGTGACATAGCTGGATCCAATGGGTTAATATGATTTTTTTAATTTAGGAAAATCCTACGTCACTGCCACTCTCCCCATCGCTGGAAGTTGCTGGAGTGGATCTCAAGAACTGTTCATACTTCAATTCCTTTACGGTTCCACTCAAGCTGGCTTTCTTGTCCTCGGAGGATAATACTGATCCTATTCATGCCATCTTTAAGGTAAAAGCTCAGTTGGTTTTATGTTAATATGTAAACAAGGAGTCCTGCCTTTTGCCTGTGTTTATGGTATGGAAGAGGGATTATGTTCACTGATCATGATGTTCCTGTTATGTTTATCTTTAATTCTTTTTGAGTTTGTAACATTAAAGAATTTCAATTTGGTGTTTGAACAAACAGGTAGGAGATGATCTTCGCCAAGACATGTTGGTTATTCAGATGATACGTCTAATGGACAAACTGTGGCTGAAGGAAGGTCTCGACCTCAAAGTTGTCACCTTCAGTGTTGTTCCTACAGGAGACAAAATTGGTAAGTTGCTGGAAGAACTTTGGTTTAATATTTCTTGATATTTGTGAAGCTTTCTGAGAGAGTTTTTTTCGTGGATTAGAAAAGTTATATTTATTTGCAAAGAAAGATGATTACAATTTTCATTTATCATTCAGTGTAATCAGAACTGGGATCACAATTTCAAAGATAACTGAATTTGTTTCCAGGGATCATTGAGTTGGTGAAAGATGCAGAGACACTACGAAAGATCCAAACAGAGTATGGCGTGACGGGATCGTTCCAGGATAGACCCATTGCTGAATGGCTGGCTAAGCAGAACCCATCACAGCTTGAGTACCAGAGAGCTGTAGATAACTTCACTGGTAAGAAGCTTCGTCTTAACCCATATACACTGGATGCCATTCACTTAAGTTTCATCTTTACCAGGACAATCTAGTGGGTGTCAGTAATTGAGACAGATGCATAACTTTTATTGCTCTTACTCAACAGTTTGCTGCTTCTCAACTAAGCAACATAATGAAAGTAACGAATACTACACTTTATAATGATATCAAATATAAAAGATTTGGTTCAGGAGTGTAGGAGTTAATGGGAAATACATGTTGGGTAAAAATATCATTTTTTAAGGGAAGTTGCTGCTGCATAACCAAAGCAACAAAAACAACCAAACTCTACACTTTGCAAAGCATAGTATTTTATTATATATTTTGTTTATAGAATTTGGGTAAGTAGTTTATGGTCCATGGTGATTGTTACTTGAACAGAAATTGTTAATCCACTCAGTAACTCAGCACCAGTGGTCTGAAAGGATAATAGTTTATGATTATGCAAGTATGAGCTCTTTGAAAATACAGTGAATGTGTCCCTTCTGTGTGGACAATATCCATAAAGAAACTTTGGCAATTTTTAAAATCTTTGGTACCAGCTTCAGAAAAACTGATAATGTATATATGTTTAAATGTTTGTGTTAGAGAATTGATAAATATTTTTTGGTGCAGTGATGTGGGTAGAGCATATTCACTGTGGACATGTTTTATTAATTTTGTTTACACTGATTGCTCCAGAAGTGCTTATTTATCATGGATTCAACTGCTAGGCGTGTCTGACCTCAAGTATTTGCCTTATTCCTTTAATTTTTTAGATATTTTGTTACTGTTATTATTATTATTAATGCTATATAAAATGATAATAATATTTACAGTGTTGTTTATAAAATAATTAATATTGATTATAATAGTAATATAAATGATGGCTATAAAAAAAATCAAGGAATGGATTAAGCAGATAATGATACATAACAAGACATCAATTACCAGGCCTAGTATAAAGTTATCTGTGAAAAAAAAAAAAATAAAAATAAAACTATCTGTACCTGTCAATAATGGATTACTTCTCTTTTCTGCAGCTTCCTGTGCTGGCTATTGTGTCGCGACCTACATCCTGGGGATATGTGACCGCCACAATGATAACATCATGCTTAAAACTTCTGGCCACTTGTTCCACATAGACTTTGGCAAGTTCTTAGGTGACGCGCAGAAATTTGGGAGCTTCAAGAGGGACCGAACTCCTTTTGTGCTGACATCAGACATGGCCTATGTCATCAATGGTGGAGAGAAGCCCTCAGACAAGTTCCAGGGCTTTGTTGACCTCTGCTGCCGTGCCTTCAATATTATCAGGCACAATGGCCACCTCTTGCTCTATCTCTTTGCTCTTGTAAGTTGATCGGAGGAAATGAAGTATTTTTATGCTATTTGTAGATAGGTTATGTTTGTATTTTTTGTATACCTTTATTGGCAAGAATTGGTTTCCCAGTGTAAAAAATTAAAGACTTGAAAACTTGAGAGATAAAGATGGGTTACACCAGTTTCCAACTATACTGTGATACCCTGTCAGTCAAATCACCCAACCCAGTTTCCCCATTGATGTGAATAAGGAAAAAAATGGCTAATTCATGATATCTGTGTCACTAGGTGCTGACTGTAGTTTGTAGGTAATCATATATATATCTAAAAAGGCTGTCATCATATTTAAAGATAATTTCTTTGTTGACAAATATTTTGCTAGATTTATATTGCCCTCGAATAATTTATCTCTGGGGGATAATTTATCCCGGATTAGGAAATGCCTGATTAAACACCATTTCATAATAAGAGGAAGTAAAAGGCTTTTATTCTTATGATTAGATGGCTTCTTCCGGCATTCCGGGAGTAACATGGGATGCAGTGACGTATGTTCAGCGTGCACTCCTGCAGGACAAGACCAATGCAGAGGCTGGAGCAATGTTCTCACGCATGATCCAAGAGTCTCTGAAGTCTTGGTTCACACAGGTTAGATGAAAGATATTTAAATGTAGAGCTATGTATCACTATCATTGAGAATTAATAAAGCTAATGTAATAAATGAAAAAGAGTGAATTAATCAAATAAAGAATGATTTATATAACAGGATGGTTACGCTAGTAAGTGTCTATTTTTTTTTTCTTTCTTTCTTTCTTTTACTAGGTGAACTTCTTCATTCACAATCTAGCACAGCTGAGGTTTACAGGGGACCACTCCGATGATCTTCTCCTCTCCTTCATTCCTCGGACTTATACGTGAGTTTTGTGTGTATTAAAGCTAAAGAAGGTTACTTTTTGGAAGCAAAGTGTTTTATCTTTTTTTTATTTCTTAGATGTAGATTTATACTCCATACACATTATTTGACTGCTCTTGCATTTATATGTGTCTTTGTCATAAATGATTTACAGGGCAGCACAAGATGGCAAGATTCGCATGGTACGACTCTACAGTTACCAAAAACGCTACAACCCCAACAAGTACTATGTATATATCTTGCAAGTGGACAGAGAGAACCAGAGAGAGCCGACGTACCTATTCCGTTCATACAGAGAATTTTCAGAGTTCCATCAGAAGCTGTGCCTTGTCTTCCCTCTGGCTAGAATACACAGGTAAAGGGGAGCTTTGGGAAATATTGATTTAGTTATACAGGGTGTACAAAGTGCTAGCAAATGGACAGAAGGTTACTGTGTAACACCCACAAATTATTATATTTGATAAATCCAGAATGATTAAGGAAAGGTGGAAAATGTATGTACCTGCCATTAATTAACATTGTATAGGGATAGATGATAAATGTTAATGACACCAGGGTACTATAATTTACAATACTGATATATTAGGGAAAGATTGCTTTAAATGAAATGAGGCAAGTAATCATTTAAACTACCAGCTATCATTTTCCTTCTTATGTTCAGCATACCAAAGGGCGTGCAGATTGGAAGGTCAGAGGTGAAGGCAGTAGCTGAGAAGAGGAAGCTGGAGATTGAGCTCTTCCTGGCAACCTTGTTTGACCTTGCGCCGGAGATTTCCCACTCAGACCTCGTCTACACTTTCTTCCACCCACTCCTCAGGGACCAAGAGGATACAGATATCCATTTAAAGAAGCTGAAGGGTAAAGGTAATGTCAAAAATTGTGAAGTAATTAGATCTGTTTTTGTCTAGGCAGAGATAGTGATATACATTCATTTATGTATTATTTTTAGTTTTTGTTTGAAATTTATTTTTGTATTTTTGTTGTCACGGTTGTTGTTTTGTTATTGAGTTAGATTGAAGAGCATACTTTTTAGTAAAACATCATAGATAGTTTTCCAGCCATGAGATTATATTCAAAAAGTCAATATTTTGATTTTTGCTTTTCTTATATGAGACCAAATTCATGAGGTGCAACCTCTTGTAAATAATTTTGATTCCCATTGCTTTTCAAAAGATCACTTAAGAAACTTTAGACATGTCAGCTCCAGTTATGGATGAGTTATTGCATGAGTTGCTGTAGGAAATTTTAGCTGTCTGCCTGCCCATCTCATTTATCAATATTTATCAACCTTTTTATCTATTGTGCTGTATCTTCCTGTCTTTTGTATGTATCTACAAGTTCTGTTTACCAATCTGTCTATCTAACAATCAAATCTGTCTTTTGCTGTATATCTCATGGTATGGATAGATGGGTTCAGACATTTACCAATCTTAAAAAAAATAAAAAGATAAAATAAAAAGCAAAGTTAGTCATAATCGGTCTGCCTTTCTCAGATACGAGGGCAAGCATCTCATCTGCGGCACCAAACAGCGCTGTGCAAGGTCAGGTCAAGGTCAGTGTGCAGTACCTCAGAGGTCAGCTGCAGATCATGGTACACCATGCGCGCAACCTTTCCCTGACGAGCCCTGGGCAGGAGCCGTCCCCATATGTCAAACTCTATCTCCTGCCAGACCCCCACAAGAAGACCAAAAGGAAGACAAAGGTTGTCAAGAAAACATGTCATCCAACCTTCATGGAGCCTGTGAGTGTTCAGTGATGCCAAGTCACCCATCCGAGTTACAAGTAGAGTGGACGTGATTTCTCCTCTGAGCCTACACCTTTGGCTAGCCTAATCTCATAAAAGTAAAAGTCTCTTGGGTGTAAAATTGTGATACGTCTGCTAAGTCCATTTTATGATGTAACTACACCCTGTATATTCATTTAGTTTGATAATTATTCATTATTTTTTTACTGGTGCCATTTTGAAAAGTTTCATCTCAGCAGATGTGTATCTAATTATAAATTTTATTGATTTAAGGTGGAAAATGCACACATTTCACTGTGTATGTAGTTTTCTCAAGGCAGTAATACAATCACACAGCCACTTCCTTAAACCCATAGCCATTGCCTGTCACAAGTCACCAATACTTCAGTGCTATTTAACAAACACCCCTGTCATCACAGATATAGCTTACTTTCATCATTTTACTGCCTACCAGGCTATGCATTATGATAATCAATATGTAAGAGACAAGTACATATATTAAACGAGTTAATATGTATTTAGCTTTTACTTATCAAATTTCTGTACTTTTTCAGATCACATACCGCATGTCCCAAGACATCATAAAACAGAGGGTGCTAGAAATTAGTGTGTGGAGTGAGGACAAGTTCAGCGAGAATGTCTACCTCGGGAGTTGCTACCTCCGTCTCGCTGCCCTCGACCTAAAGGAGGAGCAGTGTGAGTGGCTTAGCCTGGAGCATCAGCGCAACACAGCACTTGGACACACTATCCAGCACAGAGCTTAGTTCTTAGAATAATTATGACAAAAGGGCCCGAAAATACTGAGCATTATATTGACAGACACTTTGATGAAGAGAGCTTTACAACCCGGTGTGGTATACATTTATTGTGGTGTGTTGACGTAACTGAAGGCATTTATTAGATTGTTTATTTTTTTTTTTTTTTTTTCCCCCATTTTTTTGTGGCTGAGAGGAACTTGGAAGCAATTTGGAAACACATCACAAATGCATGAATTTATTGTAATACTTCCAGGTATGGGAAGGTCAGTGCTTTGATCATTAGATATTAATTATAATAATATAAGTATTATCTTTCTTCTTTATACTGTTTGTTAGCAAGTGTGCATTACATCTCAGAAATGACTTTTAAAGGTAAACACAAGATGAATAAATATGATGATGTTTCATGATAATGGGAATTAATCGGCGAGTGATTTTATATCTTAATATATACACAATGATTATGTGAATGGTTCAAGAAAAGGTACCACGTGGTGTCTAATATTGGTGTTTGTCTTTGATTACTTTGTAATATAACTTAACTTTACTATGTGCATAACCATGTTCATATTCACAATGAATTCACAATATTTAAACTTTTATTGCAATTCCACATCAGGCAAACATAAAAGGAATGACAAAGTTTTTAGACCTAGTAATTTATAGTGTATAAAATAAATATATATTTTTTCTGTAAAAAACAAAAAAAAAATTAACCTCATTTTGTAGATTCATTCTGTTAAAAGTAGATTTTTATATATGTCCAATAAAATCAGATGTTGCGGAGCACCTCAGGGGTCCATGACTTTGTGTATACAGTGTAAAAGGCTCCTAAGTCAATATTAATTTATCATGAACTATTATTATCATTTGTTTGACATTGTATATTTTTAGGGAACATTGCAAGATCAGTCTGAGTAATCAGTGTAAAGTTTTTAAGCATACTCTTTTTTTCCAAGGATTCAGTACCACATGTGAAAAATTATAGTACTAGGTGGATGTGCATCAGTTTTTAAAGGCAAGAATATTGCTAGTCCCTCGGTTTAGTGATGCAAAAGGGTCCCTGGCACAAGATTAGGTTACAATCCCTCTACTTGATAAATAGGATCTGAGGATAGTGCGCTTATGCCTTCACATTCAGGTACTAGATAAAACAGGGTAGTTAGAGCTTATGAAACTTTAGGATTGTAGGGAATTTTACACATACACACACACACATTATGAAGTTACACATAGCTTGAATTATCAGTCAGTGTACTAGGAACTTTCAGCACAGTAGGGCAGACTTTTGCAAGTGTAATGGAAGAATGTGTGTGAGAGAGTCGGAAAGAAGGCGCATAGTAAATGAATGAATGAGTGTGATGGAACAAGAGTAAAAGAATAAGGAGTGCGAAAGAAGAGGGAAGACAGAAAATTGAGAAGGGAATGTTAACTTCCTAGTGAGAGTAATTTTCCTGCAATAAAATGTTTTACCTACACATAAATACTGATTGAATATTTTAGCTGTAATTGCTCACCATGATACTTGCACGACAGATATTGTATAGATAGAATCACATGTATTTTTTGTAAGAGATGAAAAAATAGGTTACCATAGTGTTAGTAACAATAGACACACTATAGGGAAACAAATTACAAATTCCTTCTAAACTGATTTCATTCTACTCACTGCTTTATATTCTATTTTTTGCAATACACTGTTAGCACATGTTAGTACATTGCACTCTGTGAAATGTGTATAATCCAGCCCTAAAAAAAAAAAGAAGAAAAGAAAAGAAAAAAAGGAAAGTATATATATTTTAATTAGTGCCCTGTTTATAGATAATGTAATGAACAGTTGCACTTTAAAGAACCGGTTTCATTTTAGCCTTGAGAAAAGGAAGTATGGCATTGCTTGTGATATCAAGTGCTTTTCTCATATATGTAAAATCTGTTTGAAACTGACTGCTTGCTCGGAGAGTGTAGCACACATGCACGCATGTATAAAATATATATAACTTTTGATTGTTGAGACAAATAATCATTGATTTACTATATATCTGAAATCTGCATAAGGTGTTTGATAAAAATTATGTTGGAGGTTATAATGTAAGAGGCATTATTGTTTTTATTTTTTAAATAATTTTCTTTTTATTGCTTATCCTTTTTGCATTATCTTACTGAAATGAAGTGCAACTGTAAAGTCTTGTCTTTTTACTTTGGTGACATGTCACAGAGGAGACTGAGTTACCGACAGTGCATGCCAGAGACAGTGCAAAGTAGGTGTCCTTAGCATGGTTTGTAATGATAGGTTTAGCCAGGAGATATGTGGGTTGTTTTGCATGTAGCTGAAATATATTTGCATTTTTTCATTCTTTCTTTCTTGGTTGGTTGTTCACCTTGTGCTATTGGAGTCCAGATTCTGGCTAGTGATAGGAATGGTGATGAAGCAGACTGGATGCTTAATCCAGAATGTAGTTTTTCTACGTGTGATTTTGATGGTCTTGAAGTACTAAAGATAAATTTGAGGATGTCATCAACCTGAGAAGGATTTAGAAACTAGATGTCTTATTGTACTTGTGTGCTTTTAAAGTAACCTTTTTATAAAAATAGTGATAAAATGTTTTGTTAAGTTTGTTTTTAATCTGTTTGTCCCAAGGTGTGTGTTCCTCTTATTGAAACCCCTTTTTTGTAAAGACAAATGTAGCTAGGATATCCTTGCACATTCCTCCTTTTATCATGGTACCATATCCTTACTGGCTTCCAGCTGTCATAAATGTTAAGCTTCCTTTTCCAGCATGATGATTTTAAACTATAAATGTACGACACATTATTGTGTATATAGAATGAGACATTTGAGACAACCTGTGGCTTCACAAGCAGGTTTTTTCCCCAGTGAAGACATTTTTTAAAAACAGAATAATAGTAAAAGTTATCGTTGATTTAAAAAAAATATTTTTGTAAATATTTGTTGTCTCTAAATGTTTAAATGATTTGATAAATATTCCACCAGATGCTTTTGTTGTGTAAGAACCTTGTAATGTGCTTCATGAATCAGTGTAATTTTATATCTGTTTGGTTGTTCACATCAATATTGTCCTCATCTATTTCCCTAGGCATCTTTATTATTCTTTGTCTCCATGTGTGTATTGCAATGTGTGCAATCTATATTAGTTTATTTCTCTATGTATGATGCATAGAGATAATGCAAGTCTGTCTCTCTCCTCTTTTTCCCTATCATTTCTGCACTTCTTCATGTCCCTCTATGCTCTCCTCTTCTCTTTTCTGTATGAGACCAAATATGTGGTATACCTTGAAGAAGCATGTTTATATTTCAGTTAGTTTTTGTATTATTGATAAAATACTTCTGTTAAGAAAAGCAGGTTTTATCAGTGCTCCCATTCTATTTATCCATTTTATCAGCAGTTTCATTATTATTACTATTTTTAATAATTGATGACAATATTATGAATGTAGAGCATTGCTTATAAATGCATTGTATCTTGGCCACAGTCATTTGAGCTAGATGTGAACAATGTCAGTTCTGCATTAATCTTGTGTAGCATATTTTGGATGCCACATTTTTTGTACCCTTTGTAGAGACTCAGTATCACTAGACATTGCAAATTCACCCCTATTTTTTCACAGTACTTTATTATCACTTCACTGTTCCATGTAATAATAATATTTTTGGACAAACTCCATTCACATAAGCTCAATTCAGGCAGCTATCACTGCCACCAGCACTGTAATGTTTTTATTATTGTAAAACCCTCCTGACCAAGAATTTATCAGTTTTGGTCAAATTTAGTTTTTCATGTAGTGCTTATACTGTCAGAGTCCCTTTGAAAGTATAATAATATTCATACTTAAAGACACACTATATCCTTTCTTTTTTTTTTATTAATTAAAGCTTGGATCATTTGATGTCCTTTAAGTTTTGTCTACTCAGACTCAATAATGATACTAATCTAAGCAGACTAGTCACTGAAAAAATCTTTAGACAAGAGATGTAGGCTTAGATTCTCGGTATTATCACAGTCCGAGAATGTTCTAGGTTAATGCACCCTTTGCTTTGAATTTAGCTTCTCCTAGTTGTATGCCATGTCTATTTTTTTATTTTACTTTATTTTTTTTAATTATTTAATTAGACATGGTATCAGATAATCTATTAAAGGCACTCCCAAATAACCTAATTAAGTATTGCTGCAACCAAAGGCGTTGTTTTTGTTAATGTTGTGAGGTATCAGCTAGCATGAAATGGTACAAACTTTTTTTCATTTATTTTTTTTTATATTTTTACTTTTTTATTACTTCTTATTTTTTTGTGCGTTCCTTTTCTTGAATAGGCATTCCGCAGGTTATGTTATGTTCACTCCTGCATTCCCTATGTTCCTTGGCTTGATTAGTTGCATGCATTATCATGATCTTTGACGGTCAATGATAAGCCTCTTATGCTTTCATGTACAAGTGTTAAACTTTTTATGTTGGCTGCATGAGCAAAATATTGAGCAATTTTATTGATAGTTTTTTTATTAATATTTTTTTTCTTGATGTAACACCTATTATACAGTTTACTTTGAACTGGAGGACCTATGAAAGGAAGACTATAGTCTACCTTTTTGTTAAGAGAAGGACCAAGTCTGGCTGGTCAGTATATTGTCCCAAGCATGCAAAAGGTAAATGCTTGTTCATAAGAATGATATATATTTCAAGATTTTATATAATATGCTTATGTAAATAAAGTTTGTATTTAAGACGAGTCTCACTTTATCCTCATTGTGTCTAGGTTATAGAATTTATTCAAGATGAAATTTGAACCCCAAGATTTCGACCTTTTAATGTGTTTCATGCTATGGAATTTAAGCCTGTGAGAGAGAGGATGCTAAAGAGGTAGCAGTGGTATGTGTGGTATAGCTAAACATTTGGTCACAGGGGCCCTAGAGATCCCTCTATTGTTTAAGTTTGATGAAAAAATGTATATGCCAAAAGTGAAAACATTTACTCGCTTTTATGAACTCAAATATTTTTTCCTCCAGAGAAAATTCATGTAGTCATCAAGGGAGAACAAATACACAGCATAAATACAATGATTTTATTAGCAAAAACTAATGAGTAGAATGGGCAGGGTAGTCGAGCACATGAAACACAATTATTTATGCAAAAACAAAAAGCGCTACCCACTACACTACTTTCGGCCCTATACAAACACACGGCTTGACAGGTCACCACCTCATCATTACCATGTGCTTGACACGTCATTGCACATAACATCGCTGTCATGGAATGATGTCATGGAGTGGCACTACAATAATGTACGGGAAACAATCACTGCGTAGCAGCCATTACACAAGCCAGTTACCATACTATCTGGAGAGGTATTAATCAACAAAATACGTGTTTACTCCTCGTTTTCCTCATAACTTATGTACAGCAGCCACGCTGCACTTTCATGGCTGTTTTGTACCGACTAGCTTGGCTGCGGGTAATGCAGCCAAGGAGCAGGACCTGTTATCTGTACAATCCGCGATCGCCAACTCGGGTTATACGGACACCTGGCTCGCTTCCCTCAGGATGATCCTGCCCACCAGGTTTCTGCAAGAGATAACCATGGCTGGAGGAGGCCTGTGGGACGACCTAGGAGGTAGTGGCTTTGGCAGATTGATCAAACCTGTCGGGAAGAGCTCGAGATGGGCCGAGTCCCTGCCTAGCGGCTTGTCATGAGGGATCCCAAAGGGTGGATGCGGCTATGCGCCCCCGTCGGCGTTATCCCCCTAATGATGAATGATGATGAGCTTCTGTGGCAAGAATTGGCCACGAACTTGTCTTTCAAGTTGTTGGCATAGCTTACACTTTTAAAAGAACACAGTTCAGTACCCGAATGCTATCGTCTTCCCTCGATCACGCCTTTGGTCAGCCAATCACAAAACACCGTCTATGCAAGTCGTCATATGCCTATAACAATCACAACTTGCCTTGTAAGTCAAGACACGTTCGTAGCAATAAACAACACCCTCCCTTGTACTTTTACTTTTACTTCCCAGAGACTTTTGTCCAAAAGTTAAATGATTATCATCAACCATTGTTGTTCACGGAATAGCAATTGGTAAAATAATTGTGATAAGTGCGGTAGACAGACAATATTCGCTACAACTTGGAATTAGAATGACTAGTGTTATATATTAACATCACGCTCTGTTGGTGTCGTCTGTTCACCAAGCATTACAACGAAATATTTTGATGAATGATAAAAATACTGGAATTTGTTTTCGCGAGTACCATATGCATATATACGTCTGCATATTCTGTATAGAGACACTTCTGCTTTGATTTAAACTATCATATGGGAAATAATAATAACGGTATTAGTGATGACAGAATTGCATTTTTTTTTACTGAATTACATACATGAAACTAACTTTTCCATATCAAAGTCAAGTTCCAGTCATGTATAAGATAACATGACCGAGGAATTCTTTACTGGGGCTCGTTTTCCCTTGAGCGAATACGTTAGGTTAAGTTAGTAGGCTACATATACCGTTAAGTTTTCAGAATATCGCACCTCCCTCCCTTTTTCCTTAACCTCTCTCTAGCCTCTGTATCAGACAAATATATATAATTGAATATATGATATATATAACATATATAATAATATATAGATAGATACCGATAAAGATACATGTATAGAGACATATAAATAGACATGGATAAAGAGATATCCATACATATATAATCGGTTTCTGCACATAGGGCCAAGTCCAAATATATCAGAGATAATAAGCAATATATCAAAATCATTACAAGAAAACGAAGAATTAATGAAAATAACTGCGATACCGGAAAAGATAACAACGGGGACGATAACAGTAATAATGATTGTAGCGATACAATGACGATGCTGATGTGAGTCCTATGCCATCTTTTTATAAAATGTTTACCGCCTGCTCGATTCCTGTCACGTGAAAGGTGTCGTGTTGAGAAAGGAAAAGGATGAAAGCAAAGAAACAGAAAAATAAATAGAAAAGAGGAGATGAAATAGAGAAAAACCGAAGAAAGAGGAGAAAGGTAGAAGGTATATATGGATCTGGGTATGCATAGACAATACAGTTTTTTTTATAATTCTGTAAATAACGGGTATTTCATGAACAAAAATCAACATCACTGAAGAGAAAACGTTAATTTCGTTGAATCCGATAATTGTATCAACGGTAATGAACAACAGAACAGAAATTACACAAGTTTATCTTACCAAAGTTAACCGCAAGTTATTCAATAGGCAACAAATAATTCCGAAATGTAAAATTCCATAAATAAACGAAATAATCTAAACTTCCATTAACATCTAGAAAGCAGAAATAAACAAAAATAAACACGTCGACTAAAAAATGCGCGGGAAAATATAAATACTCTACATAGATCTTTCTGTATAAATAAACTATTGCGAATTTCTTCTCTTAGCGTGAAAATTAGAGAACCGCTCGCACATGAACAAAAACGCGAAATAAAACAAACTTAAATATACAAAATATGAAAGACAAACTTAAAAAAAAGTGTATACGTCAGCTGTTTTGGTGCAATCACAAACATGAGATGTAACAAAAAGGGTGAAAAGGAAAAAAAAAAAAAATAAAATGGAGGAAATGGGGAAAAAGAAAATGAGTGAGAAAGAGAAAGGTAGGATAGAGGGGGGGGGGGATAAATTTTATGAAAGAAAAAAAAAAAAAGAAAAAGAAGGAGAAAAAAAGAAAAGAGAAAAAAACAGAAAAAGAGAAGAGATGAATCAAAAAAATAAAAAATTTGTGATAGAAGTGGAATACAGAAAGAAGAGAAGCTCAAAAAAAAAAAAAAAAAAGAATGAAAAGAGAAGGGGAAGATAGAAGACGCGGGGAAGAGAGAGAACAATAGGCCAAATACGACGACAGAGACCATAGGACAAGATCATGAGAGACACAAATAGGGGGGAAAATAAGGGAGACAGAAGGATGATTAGATTAGAGGCTGAAAGAAGCCAGACACCGGGAGGGGGTTATGCAGGGAGGCAGAGGCTAAAAACCAGATGAGCAACATCTAAAAAAGAAAGAGAAGGGGGCCAAAATAGAGCCGGGGAGACCAAATAGCCAAATACAGAACAGACAGAGATAGAGACATTGAAGAAGCGTGTAGGGATGGGGGGGAGGGGGTTAAGGGAGGGGGTCGAGGCTGATTTTTAGGCAAGTCGCAGGTAACCCTCGCGTCCTCTGCCAGTCCAGCACCAACCGCGGGAGGAGCAACATCTCACCGCCGTCGCTCCTCTCAACACGCGATAGAACACGGAAGACTTCCCCAACACTATTTATTTTAAACATATATATCCTCACCCTCCCTCACCCGTTCTCTCCATCCCTTACCCCTCCCTCCCCCCACTTCCCTTTTTGACCTCGTCCTCGAAATCGAAAAAAAGGAAATATACCCGAAGAATGAGAGGCAGAAGCGCCGTGCTCGCCCTCGGCCTCGTCCTCGCCCTCGTGACTTCTGCCGAAGGAGGAAGCGGCCTCGGCGATGTCCACACTTCAGCAGCCACCGTCGCGAGGCTCGTCGAGGCTGAGGAGGAGGTCATCCGCACCCTCCAGGACTACATAGACAAGGAGGAGAGCAGACTGGCGGCGATTCGAGGGTGAGTCTTTGGAGGAAGAGCTAAGCGAGTCTCCATTATTATTAATTATTATTATTATATTATTATTATTATTATCATCAATCATTATTATTATCATTATTATATCATTATCATCATCATCATTATATACATATTTTATTTCAAAATCTAAAGGTGACATGAAAGGTACACTCGCCCCCCCCCCAAAAAAAAAAAAAAAAAAAAAAAAAAACAGTCAAACAGCAAACAATCAATATTTAATTTCCCATTTGGTCCTCGAACAGAAAGCAATGACTCTCGACCTGTTAATTGCGCCAGGCCCGACCAAATGAAATTTTCATAAGCACAGACGCAGAAATAAGGCATATCTGTCTGTATATCTGATAGACATAGATTTACCATAGATTTAGATTTAATTATTTGCCGGTTTGATATGCATGTCTAGACTAATAAATATACATTTGTTTATTTATGGATGTCAAGTATACGAATATTCCTTGGGTCGTTATTCGCACAATTCCTACAATTCGCACAAACAGGCAGTCTTTGTGGTTTAGGTTCGGAAGGTTTCGAAGCTTCGATCACGACGCGGCTTCTATTCGTGACTATAGGCCTATGAGGAGGTCGGACTTGAGGACGAGTAGACCTACATGTGCGTGTATGTGCACAAACGAGCATCGACTCGAAGCTTGAGGTTGGGGTCGAAGTTTGTTTGTTTGTGTGTGTATTTTGGCGTTTATTATTTGTTTCGGATATCAATACATACTTTCAAGATGGCGTTTATTATTTGTTTCGAATATCAATACAAGTATATAATATATATATATATATATATATTATATATATATATGTATATATATATATATTATATATATATATTATATATATATGTATTGTATATGTATGTGTGTGTGTGCGTGTGTGTGTGTGTGTGTGCGTGTGTGTGTGTGTGTGTGTGTGTGCGTGTGTGTGTGTTTGTATGTGTGTGTATGTGGGAGAAAGATAGAGAAAGACAGACAGACAGACTGACACAGACCATAAAATACAAGAACGACGAAACCAATTCACTGATCGCTTCGTCAAAGGGTTCAGAATGCACTCTGAAATCACACTTCGGCAGAACCATCATCATCAGCCATAATTTCGACATCTCTAATACCAGTCTTGTATGAAGCAAGGATCACTGTTGCCAATCTCTTCCTCTTCCTTTTATAAGAATCATGTTATTACCCCCAACGATTATTAAGTGACTTACTGTTATTATGAAATGTGTAAAAGAATGAAACATTACCACTAACTCTCCCCCCCCCCCTTCAGATAGATAGATGAATAAATGAAACAGATAAATGAACCGTATTTATTGCGACAGTTGTAGAAAAGGTATGAATGAGAGGAGAGGAGAGGAGAGAGAGGGAGAAAGAAGTAAAAATATAGATAAGTAAAAATATAGATTAAACCAGGAATGGTATAGATATGAGTAAAAATATGGACAGAATAAGAAAATGTAGGTAACATTTGTAAAAATATTGATAATAGTGAAAATATAGATAAAATAAGTAAAAATATAGATAAAGTAAAAAAAAAATAAAAAAAAAATAAAAAAAAAAAAGAAAATAAATAAATAAAACAAGTAAACACAGATAAAATAAGTAAAATATAGATAAAATAAAAATATAGATAAATAATATATGTAGATAAAAATATTCTTAACACCTGACCACCGCCGGTAGCGCCTTTCTTATCAGTTAACGGATGCGAAGGAATGACAAAGCAATGACTAAAAAAAAAAAAAAAAAAAAAAAAAATGACCCACCCCTCCCCCTCCTCTCCTCCATCTTGTCACCTCTCTCCCTCTCCTTCTTTCCTTCATCCTTTCCCTCTCCCTGTTCTTCCCTCCCTTCAATTGTTTCCTTTCTTTCCCTTCTCCTTCTCCATCTCCAACATCATCGCATTCCCTCCCATCACCCTCTCTCCTTCCTCCCCCCCCCCTCTCTCCAACCATCCATCACCCCTCTCCCCCTTTCCCTCCTCCCCTTCCCCCTCCAACCATCCCATCACCCTTCTCTCTTTCCTCCCTCCCCCACCCTTCAGTACATAACGGTACCGCCCACGTTCACTACAACAATCATCCACGGACTAATGGCTTCTTTGAGCGCCGCCCGTGACTGCACAGCGGCGTGGAAACTGTGGTCTCTGGGTGGGCGGGGTGGGGGTGGGGGGTGGATGTCTCGAGTAGGCGGGGGGTGGGGGTGGACGTCTTGAGTGGTGGGGGGTGGACGTCTCGAGTGGGGGGAGGGGGTGAATCTGGGGGGGGGGGTGGATGTCTCGAGTGGGGGGAGGGGGGTGATCTGGGGGGTGGGGGGTGGATGTCTCGAGTGGGGGGAGGGGGGTGAATGTGGGTGGAGGGGTTGCATGTGGTTGGGGGTGAATGTCTGGGTGAGTGGTGAGTAGAGTAGGTGGGTGGGGGTAGATGTGTGGGTGGGGGTGAGGGGTGGATAGGTGGGCGAATGGGTGAGCGAGTGAATGAGGCGGATGAGTGAACGAGTGAATGAGCGAGCGAGCGAGCAAGTGAGTGAATGAGTGAGCGAGTGAGTGAATGAGTGAGCGAGTGAATTAGCGAATGAGCGAGCGAGTAAATGAGTGTGCGAGTGAACAAGTGAATGAGTGAGGGAATGAGTGAATAAATGAATGAGTGAGTGAATGAGTGAACGAACGAGTGAGTGAGTGAAAGACTAGACAAGGCGTTTGCGGAGGACGTGTGTATCAACACGTGCACATTGGCTCGTGGGTGTATAGCATGCACGAACATCACTACAAAACCACAAAACATAACCCCCCAACCCCCCCCCATTCTCCATTCCCGTAACCAAATTCCCTTTAAAAAAATAATCAAGTAGGTCTGTCCTACTGCTTTCAATCAGCCGGTTAATTAAAATTGTGCCAGGCCCGACCCAATGAATTTTCATGAATACAGATGCAGAAATAAAGGCATATCTATCTATATATCTGATAGGTATACATTTAACCATCTATTTGCCAGGTTGATAGGCATGTCTAGACTGATAAACATGCATTTATTTATTTATTTAAGCATGTCAAGCATACGAATATTCCTTGGGTCGGGCCTCGCACAATCTGCTTCCTATTCCAACCATTTTCTTCCAAACTTTAACTAGCTTATCCTACCAAATTTCCCATCTTTCTTATCCTGCTGAAAAAAAGCCTCCCTTTCCTCATCTCAACAACAAAAACAACAACAATTCTTATCATAGCACGTTCTCCCTTAAAAAAAAAGAGACGCAAAACCCACCTCTCTCTGCATCCCTAAATCAAGACACAGGAAGACCAAGAACCTACTAAGTATTTACCAGACGCGCCAACAAACATTTCCCAAGAACGCTCGTCAGGAGTCACTGTCCTTCGGCTAGTTCTCCTGCGGATATTGCTTATGTCGTCACGTCATCAATATTGGCCAGATCGCATCGTGGGGAATAAGGATATCTGGGGATTTACCGCCGTGCATGCGTGATTATATATAACGTCGTGTAGGTGGAAGATACGCTGTTCTAGAAATAAGTATGGTATGGTTCATAATAATTGAGAGAGAGAGGGAGAGAGAGAGAGAGAGAGGGGGTGAGAGAGAGAGAGAGGGAGAGAGAGAGAGAAGAGGGAGAGAGAGAGGAGGGAGAGGGAAGAGAGGGAGAGGGAGAGAGAGAGAGAGGGAGAGAGAGAGAGAGAGAGAGAGAGAGAGAGAAGAGAGAGAGAGAGAGAGAGAGAGAGAGAGAGAGAGAGAGAGAGAGAGAGAGAGAGAGAGAGGGAGAGAGAGAGAGAGAGAGAGAGGAGAGAGAGAGAGAGAGAGAGAGAGGGGAGAGAGAGAAGAGAGAGAGGGGGAAGAGAGAGAGAGAGAGGGGAGAGAGAGAGAGAGTGGGAGAGAGAAGAGGGGGGGAGAGAGAGAGAGAGGGGAGAGAAGAGAGAGAGAGAGATGAGTGGGAGAGAGAGGGGGGGGGGAGAGAGAGAGAAGAGAGGGGGGGGGGAGAGAGAGAGGGGGGGGGAGAGAGAGAGGGGGGGAGAAGAGAGGGGGGGGGGGGGGGAGAGAGAGAGAGGGGAGAGAGAGAGAGAGAGAGAGAGGGGGCAGAGAGAGAGAGGAGAGGGGGGGGGGAGAGAGGGGGGGGAAAGAGAGAGAGAGGGGGGGGAGGGGGAAGAGAGAGAGGGGGGGAGAGAGAGAGAGGGAGATGGGGTGGGGGGAGAGAGAGAGATGGGTGGGGGGGGAGGGAGAGAGAGGGGGGGAGAGAGCAGAGGGGGAGAAGGAGGGGAGAGGGGGGGGGGGAGGGGGGGGAAAAGGAGGGAGAGAGACGAGAGGGAGAGGGGGGGAGGGGTGGGGGAAAAAAAAGAGAGAGAGAGAGAGAGGGAGGGGGAGAGAGGAAGAGGGAAGGGGGGGGATGGGGGGGGGAGTGCAGGAGGGTGAAGGGTTGGGAACAAAAGAGGGTAGGGGAAGAGAGAGGGACCAGAGAGGGGGAAGAGAAGATAGAAAGAGGAGCGCGGGGGAAGAGAGACAGAGAGGGGGGAGAGAAGAGGAGAGGGGGGGGAAGAGAGAGTAGAGAGGGGGGGGGGCACGGGGGGGACGGAGGAAGGCGAACGAGGGGAAGCCGATGAAAGACGAGCAAGAGAGGTGGGAGGAGAGGGAGGGAGAGAGCAGAGAGAGAGAGAGAGAGAGAGAGATGAGAGAGAGAGAGAGGAGAAGAGAGAGAGAGAGAAGAGAGAATAGAAGAGGAGAGAGAAAGAGAAAAGAGGAAAGAAGAAGAAAGAGAGAGAGAGAGAGAGAGAGAGAGGAGAGAGAGAGAGAGAGAAGGGAGAGAGAGGAAAAGAGAGAAGAGAAGAAGAGAGAGAGAGAGAGAGAAGAGAGAGAGAGAGAGAAGAAAGAGAGAGAGAGAGAGGAGAAGAGAGAGAGAAAGAGAGAGAGGAGAGAAAGAGAGAGATGAGAGAGGAGAGAGAAAAGAGAGAGAGAGAAGAGAGCAGAGAGA